GGGTGACATAAGCGTTTTACTTACCATTGCCATTTTGAGTCATTTGAGCATTGTGTACGTTGCTCCGGCGCCGTTGTTAAGCTCTGCATTAACATAAACAGAGAAATGTAAGTAAACACAAATTATGAAATGTTTTGTTTTCTTTACGCTTTGAAGGTTGCACCTTGCTTTGGAAGAAAATTCAATTTTAGTTAACTCTCACCAGTGAAAACATGAAGTTTTGCTGGAAAGACTTCAACAAAAATATTCGAAAAATTTCCCTATAATTTTGATTGTTTTTCAAGAAATGAATTTGTGATACAGGTCGATTCTATGCGCTGGAGAAGGCGCACCGACTGGACCCAAGCTCCAGCGGCCGTGGTGTTCGTCAGTTCAAGACTGGCCTCCTTCAGAGATTAGAGAGGGTATGCAGTTATGTTTATATCATCGGCTTGGTTTTTTGTGTGATTTCATGGATATTAACTTCATTTCCCTCTTTATTCCTTGACTATTATGCATGTTTGTTTGGGTTTCAAGAATCTGATTGCTCGTCTGAGTTATTAGGCTGATCAAATTGATGGTTTCACATTTTTGAGCTCCGATACTATATTGAGTATTGGGTTAATCTTTTCAAATTTTGTGCTCTTTTTCATAGCGCAATGTTCCTTTGAGGCTTTATAACTATTCGATTTTTCTAGTTTTTTTTCATAATTCTCATTGTTTTATCTTCAAGTTTGTTTGTTTTGTGTATACCAACAAACTACGTGAAAACTATTGGTGGCTTCTCAGTGAGGTATTGGGTGGTGAATGGGAGTAAATTATTTACGTAAATGACTGAGTTAAGATACGCTAATAAAATTGAGTTCCTTGAACAGTTGGGTTGTGAAGGTATTGGGTATTTAAATATGTTGAGAAAAGGTGAGAAAATCCTCTTTGCTTTTAATTTTCTTCTTTTAAAGAATTTGGCTCCTTCTAGTTGTATACTTCTGTTTCTTTATATATTTTCAATATTCATTCATTATGTTTTGTAAAAAAGTCAATTAATTTCAAAAACTGGTCTCGTTGTAAGGCAGAACTCTTCATATGAAACCTTCTGGAATTGAATGAAAATAATAACCAGATGATTAAATTTGTGGCATGATATGTGATGTGGACAGTGGTGACTTTTCGGCATAGAATTTATCCTGGACTGTTTTAATTTATATGAAATCCAAGCTATATTTTTCAAGGATTAACTTTTTGGAAAGCTCTCATGTAGGATAATAACTCAAGTCTTCCTGCTCGGGTCAAAAAGACTGATGCTCGGGAAATTGAGAGCTTCTACAAACAATACTATGAGAAATATGTTGTGGCACTTAGCAAGGGGGAACAAGCGGATAGGTACTGGAAACATATTGGTTTCACAGAATCTCTCTTGCTGCGAATTTGTTGAAACATATCTGTTTTTAGGCTCATTATTCTATTGTTATTAACTTTCTTCTGACAGAGCTCAGCTTGGCAAAGCTTACCAGGCAGCTGGAGTGCTGTTTGAAGTGCTTTGTGCTGTTAACAAGACTGAAAAAGTCGAGGAAGTTGCTCCTGAGGTTTGTTTTGATCGTAACTGACTGAATTATACATGTTGTAGAAATTGATGGCAGAAAGATCTTAATAATGTAAAATGTTGGTTGAACAGATTATGGCTGCAGCAAATGATGTCCAAACAAAGAAGGAAATCTATGCTCCATATAACATTCTTCCCCTAGATTCTGCTGGGGCATCACAGTCCATCATGCAGCTTGAAGAGGTGCCACACTTACACTATTCGTCCACCTGCATGCATATATGACTATGAAGATAGAGTTCCGTATAAAATACTAAGACATTGCACTCTTTATCACTTCCAGGTGAAAGCTTCTGTAGCTGCTTTATGGAACACACGAGGCTTAAGCTGGCCAGCCTCCTTTGAACAGCAGCGACAAAAAGCAGGGGAGTTGGACCTTCTTGATTGGCTGAGGGCCATGTTTGGGTTTCAGGCATGTCTTGCTGAATAAGACATTGAGATGTTTATTGATGAGAATTGATTCAAACATTTAGCATAGAAACTTACCATGGATGTTTTGATTCTACAGAGGGATAATGTCAGGAACCAGAGGGAGCATTTGATTTTATTGCTTGCAAATATTCATACAAGGCTCATCCCCAAGCCCGAACCACTAAACAAAGTTTGTATTCCTCTATCTGATTATGCTTTAAATGCATTGCAACCTCAAATTTTCCTTCTAAAGTCATCTCACTATCAATCGTATCTAGCACCTAATTTTATGCATGCATTTTGGACTCATCTCTCTTTTTTAAACTGAACGCTTCCTATTACGTATAGCTGGTGTACTTATTTCCTTGTTGCTGATATTTTACAAGCCTTCCATTCTCCTTTCCGTAGTGATATTTGTTTGGTATTCCATGTCTAAACCAATTTTCTGATTTGCTCTCAGCATCTTATTCATAAGTAACTTAATTTCTATGTGGGAGCACATATATATTTAAACTGGGCAGAAATAAACTTAATATCTATCGGTTTTACTCAGCTTGATGATCGAGCTGTTGATGCACTTATGAACAAGCTTTTCAAGAACTACAAAACATGGTGTAAATACTTGGGAAGGAAACACAGCTTAAGGTGAGATGATTGAGGTTATTTGTCATTTATTTGGGTGGTAGACTTGTGTAAAATGCCTAAACGATTTTAATGTTACCGAGTTCAGGCTCCTAATGAAAAATATATGAATCTTATTTCCTGTAGGCTCCCTCAAGGCCAGCAGGATGTGCAACAGCGAAAGATACTTTACATGGGCCTTTATCTTCTTATCTGGGGTGAAGCAGCTAATGTCCGCTTCATGCCAGAGTGCCTATGCTACATTTTCCATAATGTGAGTTGTTCATTCATTTTTGTTCTTTATATTACGATTAGTGTGCAATAATGTGTACATGTTAAGTAATTTTTTTAAAAACTGTATTTTTAATGCGTATTTCTTGCGTTATATGCACACATGTTCAGATGGCATATGAACTCCACGGTCTCTTAGCTGGAAATGTCAGCATTGTTACTGGAGAAAATATCAAACCTTCTTATGGCGGGGATGATGAAGCTTTCTTGCGGAAAGTTATAACACCCATTTATCGAGTGATTGAAAGGGTAATTTATTTTGTAGATGAATCAAATGGTTGTAGGAATCCTTGTCCTTGTTTCATAAATAACATAATGGTGCTTATCATGTTCCAGGAAACCAAGACGAGCAAAAATGGGAAAGCACCTCACTCAGCCTGGTGCAATTATGATGATCTGAATGAGTATTTCTGGTACGAGAAATTAAAAACATATAATTCTCTACTAAAATTGAAAAAAAGGATAGCTTGCTCGCAGTTTCCTGAGAGTAAGGTTTGACCAATTCTTTGTAGGTCGTCAGATTGCTTCTCTTTGGGTTGGCCAATGAGTGACGGGGGTGAATTTTTCAAATTGACAAAAGATTCAGCAAAGGTAAGGTCTACTCCATGCAGAGGTTCTCTGTCACATGAATTAATACTTAGCTAGTTGGCTTAATATGATTGATGTTCCAGGGAAAGCAAGCTCCTCATAAAAAGCGAGGATCGATGGGGAAATCATTTTTTGTGGAAAGCCGGAGCTTTTGGCATAACTTTCGAAGTTTTGATCGTCTTTGGACATTTTACATACTTGCTCTTCAGGTATCTAATTCCAGCAGATAAAAGACTATAGTCGAGATTTCCTCTGCTCCTTTCTTCAGGGGATTGTGCTTATGTTGGGGTTATGATGTTGCAGGCCATGATTATCATTGCATGGAGTGATGTTTCTATATTAGATATTTTCCGGAAGGATGTCTTGTATGACTTGTCGAGCATTTTTATCACGGCGGCCTTTCTTCGCTTCCTACAGAGTATGTTATTCTTGTTTATATAGCTAAGACAATGGCATCAAGGTTATCAAGTTATTAATTAAGTTTATACTAAGCCCATGTTTGATGGGGATTCAAATCAAATTTTTAGTAAATTTTGAAGAAAGTTGAAGAAATGTGTGGTTGAAAAGTTGTGGATCCCATAAAATGTGTGGTTAAAATTAGTTATTAACTTTGACTTAAATTGCAATTTGGATTTTAATTTCTACCAAACAGGGCTTAAATGTTTAGCTGATGAGACTGGGAAATATTTTCTAGTTGAACTCATATGGATTTAAGTTTTAAATCTTGAGTTTTAATTCATCATTTGATTGAGAAATAAATTCTCTCCATAATTTCGTATAGGTATGTTGGACCTCATTCTAAACTTCCCGGTGTATCTTAGATGGAAATTCACTGATGTATTAAGGAACATCCTCAAGATAATTGTCGGCCTTGCTTGGTCCATTGCTCTTCCAATATGCTATTTGCACCAGAACAATTCATTTTCATTTGGGAAGATCAAAGATATGCTCTCCTTCCTAGATAAGATTAAGGGAGTGCCTCCATTGTATCTCATGACTGTGGCTGTATACTTGCTACCCAATCTACTGGCAGTAGCTTTGTTTCTTTTCCCAATGCTACGACGTTGGATTGAGAACTCGGATTGGCTTATTGTCAGGTTTTTCCTATGGTGGTCACAGGTACATCTAGTACTCTCTTGTCTTTTTCCATTCTTATGCAAGTACTCATCTCTTTTTATACAAGTACAACGAACAGTAAAAATACATAATTAGTGTTTGTCAGATTACCTCTGTTATTTCAGTAGGTAGTGCAGATCAGATTATGTTCGATTATTCGTTTACTGACAAAGTGCTCCGAGTGAAGTAATTTTCAAATTTTAGCATGTTCCGAACTGAAAAAAATGCATCTTTCTTTCTCAATCTTGCATGGATTTTCTCTTATGGTGAGACGAAAATTTTCATTTGTTATCTACACATGGAAGAAATGTTGGAGTGGGTGAACATATCCTTCCAGTTCAGTAAGCCGCTGCCTCAGACAGTGGTATTCATTTGGATAAATTGATTTACCATCTCTTTTGTGTTTTCTATTACTTTTTTTGAGTTTAATTTGCTCACTAGTAAATCTTAACTCTGTTTTTTCGTAACATTTTGCTCCTTAGCTGAAGTATTTCAGCAAGAATTTTTTTTTTTTTTTAGTTACTGTCTGACCACATAATCAGACAAGCAGGTTTCAACTTACTTTAATGTCAGTATTACTCGTCCATCTAATCAACAGCTTAGCCTCGTCAGTTATTTGAGTTATCTAGACATAACATTTTTCAAAATTTGTTTTGATTTTTGTTGAGACATGATTTGAGTGACACCCATGTGGCCCCCTATAACAATTTAAATTTTTATATCAAGTTGTTCAACATGGTATCGAAGCACTAGGTTCATTTCTTTTCAACGTCATTTAATGAAATTGTGCATGTGTCTGGTTTTGAGAAAAATTTAAATATATACTTATGCTTTCAGATCAAGCGGTTTTCTTCAATAGAATTAGGTTTTGACAGATAGGAGAAATAGCTGGAATTCAGGGAAATCAAATTGATGAGGCATATCTTTGTAATTGTTTGTAGACACAAAATAGAATTTCAACTCAACTTTGAACTTTGATTTAAGTTCATTAATTGATTTTGGAATATTGCTAAGTTTGCATTTGTTCTTGTTATGCATTTCTACAGACAATCAATTAATATAAGTTCTTCTTTATTGTTGTAATTTAATTCTATCTTTGTTGCCTTTTATTTTCTTTACACAGTGATGATGTGATTAATCTGAAATGACTTTGTTTGACTTTTTGCAGCCTAGAATCTATGTGGGAAGGGGAATGCATGAAAGTCAGTTTGCACTAATCAAGTATGTAGTCCTTATATTGCCTACTGTTTAACTCTGCTTCTTTTTACATCAACGTTGATTTTGATTTCATCTTATTAACTGATATCAGGTACACTATCTTTTGGGTACTGCTTTTATGTTCAAAATTCGCATTTAGCTATTTTATACAGGTAGATTTCACACCATCATGACATAAATTGCATATTTTTTATGATATTGTGGGTGACTTACCAAATTAATTATCTTGTTTGATCCAGATAAAGCCTTTGGTGAAGCCCACTAAAGATATAATGAGAATCCGCCATGTTACGTATGCTTGGCATGAGTTCTTCCCAGATGGTAGAAATTTTGTTGTAATGTTCTGATTCATACACATTTTATCGACTTGTATTGTGTAGACAACATTCTTGTACATGTGCAGCTAAGTACAACTATGGTGCTGTTCTTTCACTTTGGGTGCCAGTTATCTTGGTGTGTCTTTCTTATCATTAACTTGTTTCCTCTTATACTATATTCATACAGTATAATATTAATAACATGCCTACCCTCGTGGTTGTTTAGTAAAAAATTCTATTCATTTAGAGTATAAGAGTAATTTTCTTTCCTTTTTTTTTGTTCATTCTAGTTGTTCGTTGTCCATGACAAAGTATCTCAGAGATGTTATGAGTTTTGCAGGTTTACTTTATGGATCCTCAGATCTGGTACGCTATATACTCCACCATATATGGAGGTTTTATTGGGGCCTTTGATCGTCTCGGTGAGGTACTAGACTCTATTAAGCTTATTCAGTTTTTGCTTTTGTTGGTCTTCTTGTCATGTCTTCTGTCTTTTCATGTTTATTCAAATTTAAGATCCCATCATTTCCACCTGCAATGCATTTGGGCTGAGGAAAAAATCATGAATCTCTAGAAATGTAAACTCAGCAGCATCTTGCCTAGACAGCAGCTTTGTAAATTAGCATTAATTCACGCTGAAAGAACTAGTTACTTTTTTATATCAAGCCATAATAGTTTTTGATATACATTTGCCTTTCGTAGATACGGACTCTGAGCATGCTAAGGTCACGGTTCCAGTCTTTACCTGGTGCATTCAACACTTTTCTAGTACCTTCTGACAAAAAGAGGAAGAGAGGGTTTTTTCTCTCAAAGCACTTTAATGAGGTTTCTCTTCATCCTTCCATACATGATTTATTTACTGCACCTAAATAATGGGTGATATCAACCATTCTGAAAATATATATCATTTTCAATTACAGGGTTCAAAAAGCAAGAGAAGTGAAGCTGCAAAATTTGCTCAGTTATGGAATGAGATAATATGTAGCTTCCGCGAAGAAGATCTCATAAGTGACAGGAAATGATCGTCGTCTGTCTTCATTCTTTTTATCATAATTCTGTTATGATCTGTCTTTCAAGATTCTGACACATAGTAGGAATTGAATTTGATCTTCTGTAACTCCAGGGAGATGGATCTTCTTTTAGTTCCTTATTCTTCAGATTCCAGCCTGAAACTAATCCAATGGCCGCCATTTTTACTTGCTAGCAAGGTAACTTCAGTTTAATTGTCTTTTGCATCTACTTTTTGTATTAGTTCTCTGACAAGCTTGTTTTGTAGATTCCAATCGCATTGGACATGGCAGTTCAATTTCGATCGAAGGACGCTGACCTTTGGAGGCGTATTTGTGCTGATGAGTATATGAAATGTGCTGTCATTGAATGCTATGAATCATTCAAACATGTTTTGAATGCTTTGGTTGTTGGAGAAACTGAGAAAAGGTTTGTTCATTATAATTATCATGGAGCTAATTTGCAAGTTAATGTAATATACATTTAGCCTGTGAAAATGTGCATGCTATTTTAAATTGCCATAGAACATTGTGAAAAAGCTAGAAACAAGTTTCCGATCTTGTTTATATGCTGGTCTACTTCCATGTATGTGTGTATGTGTATGTACATATGGTCATATCTTTTAACTGTAGTCAATTTTGTTGTATTATTTCTAACTTCGTGTTTTCTTGATCCATATCTTGCTAAGATGAGTATCCACAATTTTAGGCAATGGTGAATTTCCACAGCATATAGCCCATGGACATAGTGTCTAAATAGTGAATACCATCTCTATCTGGTCCCTCCCTTCTAGATTTCATTGCTAATTCTAGTATCTATATATGCTTCCTATAATTCAAAACTAACAAGGAAAATGAAAACTCACTTTCTATTTGTGAGTGTTCTATCAATAATAATCTTTTTCTTCGTTCTTTTCCCTACATTAGTATGAAGCATTTGTAAAAATTGAAAGAGACTAAGCAAATATCATTGTCACCACGACAATTCTAATGCCATCTTCTATGTAACAGGATAATAGGAATCATCATTAAAGACGTTGAAGGTAACATACTGAAGAACACATTCCTTGCAAATTATAGAATGGGTCCCTTACCTGATCTTTGTAAGAAATTCGTGGAGCTTGTAGAGATGTTGGTAAGTTGCTTCCAATTAATATATCATAACATATGCATGTTTTGAACTTCATTTTTCATTTTCCTGTAATTTAAACCTCTCTCTGTATTGCAGAAAGATGGTAACCCATCCAAGAAAGATAGAGTTGTTTTGCTGCTACAAGATATGTTAGAAGTAGTTACCCGTGACATGATGGTGAATGAGATCCGGTTGGTTAATTATCTAGTATTCAGAAGTACTGGTATTATTATTCTTCAAAGATTTGGGCCAGTTTTTATTATTTTTGATAGATTCTTGTGAAATTTCTTTGTGTTCACTGAATACAGTGAGCTGGCTGAACTTGGTCATAGTAGTAAGGATTCTGGAAGACAACTTTTTGTCAATATTTTGTTCCCTCCTCCAAATACAGCACAATGGGAAGAGCAGGTACCTGAGCAAGCACACAAAACTACATATATGTATATATAGACATAAATATGGAAACACTCACAAACACACTATGTTGGACATCTATTTTGTTGATAACTGAAGAAAAATTACGATTGTGTTTTTCACAGATACGTCGTCTTTATATGCTCCTAACTGTAAAAGAATCTGCCATTGATGTGCCAACAAACCTTGAAGCGCGCCGGAGGATAGCGTTTTTCACAAATTCACTCTTTATGAATATGCCACGTGCTCCTCGAGTTCGCAAAATGCTTTCATTCAGGTGCAGTTCATAGTCTTTTAAGTGCATGCAATGTTCATATTTTGAACTTATTGAATAAATTGAATAAACATATTTGTAACATATCAATTGGCAGTGTCATGACTCCCTACTACAGTGAGGAGACTGTTTATTCGAAGAGTGACCTTGAAATGGAAAATGAAGATGGTGTATCAATTATATATTATCTTCAAAAAATATATCCAGGTTTGAATAATGTTCCCATTTTGTTCTCTGTTTACAATGCTATTTCTTTATCTTGTATTATTCTAATGTGATTTGTTTCTTTCTGTTTGCCAACCATAATAATACTTCCTTCAGATGAATGGAATAACTTCAGGGAGCGTCTAAACTGCAACGAACAAGAGGTCTGGGAAAATGAAGAGAACATTCTGCAAATACGTCACTGGGCCTCCTTGAGAGGACAGACTCTTAGCAGAACAGGTTATCTGGGTCTCTCTCCCTCCCCATTCTCTTTTCCATAAAAATTGTCAGTTTGACTATATTTATTTGTTTTTCAGTCAGAGGAATGATGTACTATAGAAGGGCTTTGAAGCTTCAGGCTTTTCTTGACATGGCCAGAGAAACTGGTACACTATATTACATTTACTAAGGGATTGTACTGTCATATCTCTAGATTTTTGAGCATGCTTGAACCCGACAGAAAAGATGCTTATCATATGACTTCTAGTGATGTTCAAATAAGCACATCGCAAGAATAACATCAGAGTTTTATTTCTACTGCGTCCTTGGAATCTGTCCTAAAATATCCCTACTCTCTGGATTTTAACTATTTCTGCCTATACTGAACAGAGATACTTGAAGGCTACAAAACCGTTTCAGAACCATCAGAGGAAGATAGAAAGAGTCAGAGATCCTTGTATGCTCAATTAGAAGCTGTAGCTGACATGAAATTCACATATGTAGCCACATGCCAGAACTACGGGAACCAGAAGCGGAGTGGAGATCGTCGTGCAACTGACATTTTAAATTTGATGGTGAAGTAAGTCGTACATTTTCTTGATGGAGTGGAAAGATTCTCTAGTTTGGATTTCCTTTTACTTAATGAGCTCATCTGATTTTCAATCTTGTTCCGTGTTCCCACCGTGCAGTAATCCATCTCTCCGTGTAGCATATATAGATGAAGTTGAAGAAAGGGAAGGTGGAAAAAATAAAAAGGTTTATTATTCCGTATTGGTAAAAGCTGTCGATAATCTTGATCAGGTAATCAAAGTTGACCTGGTTGCATCTCAGGCGCTGACTTTTTTTTGTTCTTCTCTGAAGGAAATCATAATTATCGTTTAGTCAAAACACAAAGTTGATCTGGTTGTATCTGAGCCGCTGACTTTTTTTGTTCTTTTCTGAAGGAAATCTACCGCATAAAGTTGCCAGGCTTAGCAAAGATGGGAGAAGGGAAACCTGAAAACCAGAATCATGCTATTATTTTTAGTCGTGGGGAAGCTCTTCAGACGATCGATATGAATCAGGTAAAGTGTAATTTTGATGTCATTACACTGACTGGGATTTTTTAGTCAAAATAACAAGTTTCCTGTTTCATTTTGTAGGACAACTATCTGGAAGAAGCTCTTAAAATGCGAAATCTACTTGAGGAATTTAACGAGGATCATGGGGTGCGGTCTCCTACTATTCTCGGTGTTCGTGAACATATATTTACAGGAAGGTTCGATGCTATTTTTGAGCTGATGGTTAATCAATACATTCAATTTTAGTTATATCTGATGTGATGTCATTTCTTTACTACAGTGTATCATCATTGGCTTGGTTTATGTCAAATCAAGAAACAAGTTTTGTCACCCTTGGTCAAAGAGTTCTAGCAAGACCTCTGAAGTACGTTCTTACTTTCTCTCTCTTTTTATGGATTCATATAATTCTTAAATATGATAGCATTGTCTTTCTTTGGTTTATTTTCTGCAATAGAAGATCTCATTATCAGAGAGAAGTCATTCGTTTTCAAAAGCACGATCTTATGTTTGAATAATTAAGCAAAGTAATGTCACCTCCTGAAAGTTTCTAACTTTCCTCAAAAGTAGAAAAAGACAATATACACTTTTGCATATAGACGGGAGCTGAAACCTCATCCCTTCCTTCTAGAGCATGCTTCAGCTGACTTTCAAGACACTACATTTTGTACATCAGCTACGCTTTGCTGGGCTTAATATCAGCCCCAGCAGCTTTGTGTAGCACGGACACGTTGGCATGTAATTTTTCACAAAAATAGGACGGACACATCAACTAACATACTTAGCAGTTCTGTATCATTTCTTTATCTTCATACTTTTGTGATCTGGCGATAATAATAATCCATTCAGACCCATCTGGAATTGGTCCACTTACGACCTGTTCATGATTCTCTCTCTCTAATTGGTCTTGTTTAGGGTGCGGTTTCACTATGGGCATCCAGATGTGTTTGATAGAATTTTTCACATTACCCGTGGTGGCATAAGCAAAGCTTCTAAGGGCATTAATCTTAGTGAGGATATATTTGCCGGTGAGATATTAAACCACACAATTTGCTATCTTACATTCCCACCTGCTCTCTGAAATATACTTTACTTTTTTGAAGGTTTCAATTCGACTCTGAGACGTGGAAATATTACTCACCATGAATATATCCAAGTTGGGAAAGGAAGAGATGTTGGCCTCAACCAGATATCACTTTTTGAAGCCAAAGTTGCATGTGGTAATGGGGAGCAAACACTGAGCCGTGACATCTACAGACTGGGCCATCGTTTTGACTTCTTCCGCATGTTGTCATGTTACTATACAACAACTGGTTTTTATGTCAGCTCAATGGTAATTCTTTTTATCTTCACATATGGTTTGTTAAATCTGGAAAAATAAATAATTGGGACTAAACAATACTTATTTACATCATATTATCTACTTGGAAGCGTAGATATCATTTATTTTGTTCAAGAAGGGCATAGAAAATGAAGTCTTAAATGCAACTATTCTCTGTCAGAAATTCAAAAACAGCAATTAAAAGTTTTTTTCATCTTTCCTGAGAGGGGGATGAGTTTAAAGCTAGCAAATAAGATTAAGTATTGTATATTTGTCCTAAAACTATTATTTACTGCCCTTTCATGTTTTTTTAAAAGAAAAAAGATGATGTTGCATAAATTGATGAATTTGAAGAGCTGAATTTGGTTTTCCCCATGGAGCGTTCATTTTCTTTTCTGCAAATTGGAATCAGTAGTCCTTTATGTGCCCTCCAGTTGTAAAATTTTCTGCTGAACCTGGTATTCCTTCTTGATATGTAGCTTGTGGTCCTTATAGTCTATACCTACTTGTATGGAAAGCTCTATCTTTCACTTAGTGGCATGGAGACTGCCATAGTCAAATTTGCAAGATCAAAGGGAGACAATGCTTTGAAGGCTGTCATGGCTTCACAGTCACTTGTTCAACTAGGTCTTTTGATGTCACTTCCCATGATTATGGAAATCGGACTAGAGCGGGGCTTTAGAACTGCAATTAGTGATTTAATAATTATGCAGCTTCAGCTTGCTTCTGTCTTCTTTACTTTCTCTCTTGGGACGAAACTCCATTATTTTGGGCGGACGATTTTACATGGTGGAGCGAAATACAGAGCCACTGGACGTGGTTTCGTTGTGCGACATGAAAAGTTTGCAGAGAACTACAGAATGTACTCAAGGAGCCATTTCACAAAAGCACTGGAATTGCTTATTTTGCTCATAGCTTATCAAGTTTATGGTGCAGCAGCTCCGGATTCTACAATTTTCTTTCTTGTCACTTTCTCGATGTGGTTTCTTGTTGGTTCATGGTTGTTTGCACCTTTTCTTTTCAATCCTTCTGGATTTGAGTGGCAGAAGATAGTGGATGATTTTGAGGATTGGACTAAGTGGATAAGTAACCATGGAGGTATTGGTGTTCCAGCAGTCAAGAGTTGGGAATCGTGGTGGGATGAAGAACAAGAGCATCTCGAACACACAGGTTTGTCAGGGAGGTTCTGGGAAATTGTCCTCTCTTTGCGCTTCTTCTTCTACCAATATGGAATCGTTTATCATTTGAATGTGGCCAATGGCGACAAAAGTTTCATGGTAAGCGTACATAAATTTTGCAAGGTTTCACTTGAAATTCAAATTAATCAAATAATGACAATATTTTAGTACTGATAAATTCAATACAAGGCTTGATTTTGGATATGGAACAATTCTAAACCTTAGACATGCATCAATGGCCTTTTAATTGGGTGGATTGTACAATATTCGACAGTATATAAGAAGAATAAATGAAATCATGCAGTAAATGTTTGTTCATCGGCAATTTGGAATCCTGTTATTTTAAATTTCATTTTGGAGACAGTAGAGATGCATTTGATGTCCATTTGTTGTCTTACATGCTATTGTGATTACAGATTTATGGTCTATCGTGGCTGGTTATTGTTGCCGTGATGATAATCTCGAAGGTCAGTGCTCAAGCCCTAAATCAATATGTTTTCTTTTTAATATAGAAAGCACAAAACAACCTCCAAATTGTCAAGAAGTAATACATCTTTCTTATGCAGATTGTGTCCATGGGAAGGAAGAAGTTCAGTGCAGATTTTCAGCTGATGTTCAGACTTCTCAAGTTATTCTTATTTATTGGGTTCATAGTGATTCTTGTGGTACTCTTCACATTCCTAAACCTGAGGACTGGAGATATTTTTGCGAGCTTACTCGCTTTTTTGCCAACCGGATGGGCTCTTCTGCAGGTCCTTTTTACATCTTTTATATATATTTTTGACACAAAATATTTGAATTATAGAAATCATTCCATATTTAATTAGCTATGTATGATAGTGCTCTTTGAATGGCCGAATGCATAGTATTTCTCTTCGCAAAAGGTATAAAATATTGTGTTATGGATTACTTTGAGTTATTTCTTCCACCATCCACCACCCGTTCCAAAAAGGAATCAAAGATTATTCTTCTTCTTATATAACTCTCACGAATAGTATTCTCTTCACCTACATGTATCTTGATTTCAGCGAAGGATTACGAACTCTCGACTTAAATAAATAACGTTTTTCCCGTGCAGATAGCACAGGCTTGCCGGCCTATAGTGAAGGGATTGGGAATGTGGGGGTCTGTTAAAGCTCTAGCAAGAGGGTACGAGTATATTATGGGATTAGTGTTATTTACACCCGTGGCGGTTCTAGCCTGGTTCCCATTTGTATCGGAATTCCAGACTAGGCTGCTTTTCAACCAGGCCTTCAGCAGAGGACTTCAAATCCAGCGTATTCTGGCTGGTGGAAAGAAGCACAAGTAAATACTTGTATAACCTTACAAGATTAAAGATTGGAACAAGACCAGAGACTGATGTAACAGAGGTAGCAGTGGTTTGAAGAGAACCTCGAGCTTGCTACACAGAGAGTATATTATCTATATATATCATCGGATAACACAACTTCTGCTTAAAGATCTCGTTATAATTTGTTGATATACAGATCCTAGTGCTCTAGAGAAATCTTTAGAAACAAATGCTTCTGCATTTTGACAGAGACTTCACATCCATGTTTACTTGTGATATATATACAGCAAAGCTGATAATATGTAGCTACTTCGTATCTATGTAGATTTGGTGCTATATATATGTACACACAACAACAAAGCTTACAGTGTGTAATGTCGTGCTATAATTCAATTAATTTCTTAAATTTGCATGCATTCCATATATCTGCATTCTGCATTATGTTGGATTTGGTGTTTTTAAATTTTTATTTATTTATTTTTTTAACTCAACCGCAAAAGAAAGAAAAAAGAAAAAATCGGAATTGATTGAGAGAATCGTGTAAGTGTCCTTAAGAAGAGGAATTTGTCCATTTTTCGAGGCCTCAAAGGTTATAAAAACACATGAGAACTCTTGAACGAAAATAAATAATTTTTTAAATAGATAAGATACCAGCTCAAGTCCTATTCTGCTTAAAAGTAATAATCCCACTCTAGTCCAGACCGTTTTACCATCATCCGACCAGCTAAGCACCACCGGCTTCGTCACTCGATCAACTACTTAATACTTTGTAAGTTCATCAAACAAACAACACAAACGTGGCTTTTAATATTGCTCTATGAAATTCTATTCTACATGGAACAAATGAAGTCACAAAACGACAATTATGTTGAAGGAATAAATATAAATAAACAAATACCTTTTTTATATGATAACTTAAGCTTTAAATGAGGTGATTTGACTCAGTCGAACTAGGCAAAATCATATTCTACATGGAACCTAGGCAAAATCATATTCCACGTGGCGACGAAACGACAAAATGTTTAGGACAGATAGAATAGACATCTTTAGCATATAATAACTTAAACTTTTAGATGAGATGATTCACAGTGATATCAAGTGCATTGAATTAAAATATCACATGATAAACATTTAGACGATGTAGTTCAACATTGACGACTCAACAATTGCATCTCTCTTCCCAAATGTGCCACAGGCTGCCTCTGCTGCTTTAGGTATGGTGTAAGCAGGTTCTGCCAACAGCAAGATAAGTTGAATCATGTAACATAATTAACAAAGCATCCTCAGCGCAGGTAATCCTTGACTTGTATAGAGCCACCAAACGGAGAATTGAAAAGGCATGCTGGATGAGTGGGGATGGACTTGAATAATGTTAGTGTGTAAAGATAATATTATCTTCTTTTTTCCTGGAATCAATGAAACAAATAAAATACATAAAAATGAAATCCAATACAGGGAAAGTTTATTATACAGCATCAAAGCAAGACTGCAGCAAGTACCTTAGCACCAATTGTCTCTAAGTAAGAGGTTAATGCAACCTCATCAGAGATGCTGCAATCTACACGGTATCGTGAACTACATGTGAAATGACCACCAAAAATACAGACTCAACTAGACTTGGGTACAACAAAACGTCAGTAAATCCATGCCTTATTGCACACCATTTCTGAAAGGTGTGCTATATTCTAAACAGGATACCCCAATTTCAGACAATGCACGTTACACATGGGCTCGAATTTTTCACAATTCTCCCTCGTATTCATTTGACTGAAGAAACAATAAGTAGAATGTGAACGTTTGTCCCAACGACCAGAAATGTCATCAGATATCGTCAAGTCTACCTCTTTTCAGGGATTTTGGGAAATCCCCAACCTCTGTTGGTTGGGTAAAAGTGAAATCTAAGACTTGTGCAGAATTATTTCCCAGGTTTGCATTAACCTCATCGCTGTTCACCTACATTAATCATATGCTTAAATTATAAATGCTAGAGAATATCATAAAATAAGGACCAAAGTAATATATTCCACTGATATAAAGGTCACCAAACACAAGTTTGTCAAAATCTTAACACGACATGACAGATTAAAGTGACTTATTTTGACACAAGGAAGAGTTACTTTATAGCCCTTGTTTGAGTCCCATTTTTCAACCAAAATACATTTTTCAACAGTGATTTGACATCACTTCAACCACACATTCTTCAATAAAATAATATTATACGCAAATCAAAAATTTTTTCTTATTTTTTAACCACACATTTCCCATCAATACACTATTCAAAAATTCTAATTTTCACAAAAATGGGGCTCAAACAAGAGCATAATAAGTAACAATCTTTTTAAAAAGTGAGAAAAATGGAATCTATCTAAAAATGTTTGGAATTTGAAAATTTGCTTAAAATAATTTTTACTTATTTTTAAGCTTCGCAAAACATTTTCTTGGCCATATTCCTGTGAGACCTTACCGTCTGAAGCACATCCAAACAACCCTCTTGTCTGTTAGATCCTGCAGGCATCACAGGATGCTGATTCAGACCAGAAGCATACGGATTTATACCAGAAAAACCGCCTCTAAAGCCGACATAATCCATATTACCAGGGCAGTATGGCACAAATAAGTTCCCCATCGATATTTCTTCAGTTGCATTAACATCAGGACAGAAATCCAGTGGAGCTATAAGATCATTCAGCTCTATATATGCTACATCATTTTGTAGAGGCATTTGGTTCATAAGATGGCCATCTTCCTGCATGCCAATGGTATCAAATTCACCTTCAGTCATCTGAGCCCAATAATCCAGGTCATGCAATCCATTGTATATATCATTTCCACTGGTCCCCAGTAAGGATGTATTGTTCTCCTCGTCATTATCATGATACTGCTTTGTAGAAAATAAAATTTTTTCAAAATACATTTAAACTAATGCAGGACAAAGAAAATACAGATAAAACGCAATTTGTTCAATCAGAAACAGAGTCACCAGGTTAACAATTTCATAATATGAGTTACTACAGATTAGCAAGGAATAAAAAGAGAAAATGCCTTGATATCCAATTTAGCCCTTTTTAAGCACCGGTGCACCCAAATTAAACATATATCTTGCACACTCGTAGAACAATCCCCCCATTTCATCTGTCCAATCCAAAAATGAGTAATGTTATAGTATCTGATGTAATAATTAAATAGGAGGTATTCAAATGTGACGTCTATAAGAAACCAAAAAATGAAAGACATGACTGATGCAATATACTAATTCATCTACAAATCTACAGCATAGAACACCTAAATCTTTTTCATAATATCACCTTCCAATTTATTACCTAACTTCTACAGTTCCCCTATCTTATCTCCTGGAAATCTCGGTGACATTTGAACGAGCGCCCAATAAGAATAAACCATGCCTAACCAGTAGTCTACTGAGCTCAACTTTATCATATAATAAACTGTCAGGTCATATAACCTACCCACATCAGCTCACTGCATGCCATGTAAAATCCAACAAATCAAGCCCACCCTGAAGCCCCAAAACAAGGAGGAGAAAAAGGACAATGCAGAAGGAAAGGGTAAATAAAAAAAAAAAAAATGTTCTGGGTTAAGAAAGAATGGGAAATACCCCTAGACATGAGTGGTACATGTCACATAAGATGCAGCCATAATATAGTGCTTTGTCAAAAATAAATATTGATGTAAGGGAAGATAATGAGAGCAGGATGTTCAACTAGTCAACCTTTAAACGAAGACATACCTCACGATTTCTTTTCTCGCTAAAATTCAACATGCTGTGAGCTGTAAATGGGGCCAGCAAATGAACAATATCATCATCTGACTCATTCAGAACCAAGTCGCTAGCAGAAGGCCTGACAGAAGATGGACCCGCTTCAATCAAAGATGATTCCAACGTACTTCCAGGAACGACCATGCTTGTTTTAACAGAAGAACTGCAATTTTGAGGTAAAGTTGATGCAGAAACGGATGGATCATGAGACGGGAAATATCCAGAGCATATCAGTGTTTCATCATCATTGTCCCATTCTGCTTCATTAAATGGTGCTCCATACTGTGCTCCATTTTTTGGGCCTGGACCCTTCTTCTCAAAGACTTTACAGAGCACGTAAGAGTCCTGAAAAATATGGAGACTGTGAAAAATCATTTTATCAAGGGGTAAGGGAACTCTTACAACCAGTGTTTCCAGTTGTAAAGGATAAATGAAGAATTAATCAGCAACAATATCGTAATTCCGTCTCAAATATACATTAATTGGAAAATGATAGGACCTGGGAGTAAAGTGACATGAGATTATTGTGCAGAGATATTCTACAGATTCTAGCGAACATCACTCAGGAGATAGCAGAAGGGAGAATAACACATGCTGCCTTAAGATACACTCAGAATTTAATGTACAGAAAAGGAAACCAAAAAACAACTTATTTTTTTCAATAGCATTTTCAAATAGAACATAAACTCCAACCTAGAATTAGTCACTATTCACAACATCAAGAAGCATTCATGTGTATACAAAATAGAATAGCAACTTGGCATAAAACCTTGAATCGTTGGATACAAATGCAAAAATTGGCCATCGTTCTAAATTTTTAATTCCTATAATCCAGTTATCCTTTACAAAGATGCACTGAAAATTCAAAATAAAATACCTGAATTCCTACTTCAGCCAACTGCTTGTCTAGGATTCTGAACTCATGGATGACCCAATCAGTTCTTTGCCCTTGGGGTGCATGACCAAGGTGAAAAATCAAGGTTTTCACCATTCCCACAATGTTATTATTGTGAAAAACAGGTCTATCTTTCCCTGTGGTTTTCCAGTATCCATTTTCAGTACTGCGCTTCACTCTAACCCCGCTTGCATACCTCTTCTCTTTTGGGCAAAAGAAGAACCACTCTAGATCCTTACTTTTCAAGCAAGATTTATCTGCAAGGAAAAAGAGAAAGACATAGAACATAAAAATGTGTAGACAAGGCATATAAGCATACAGAGACAAAACCTATATCACTTCTATGGAGCCAAGCAAAGACAATGTATCACTTATACTCATATTGACATATATGATGCTTGCAAATGGTGATAAAATTTGCGACTAGTTCTGGATTAAGTAGAAGTATTAGAGAACATGTGTGCAACATAAATGTAAAAGTTGACTAATGAAAATCGGAAGATAATGGCTACAACAGCTACAGATAAACCAACAAAAATAAAAGTACCCGGTAGTTCCCATGGAGAGAACTTATAAATGTTGACCTCTGTGATAGCTTCAAAATGAAGCTTCTTTCCCATAACCTTCCGCTTAAGATAGTACATAACTAGCTCAACATCAGTTGGATGAAACCGAAATCCTGGAGGAAGTGAGATCCGACCCATCGTAGAATGACAATTGACCACAGAATTCCCAGTTGTTGAACAATACTGAAGAAGAACTTTAATATATTCGTAAACCTTACTCTATCCACACCGAACACTTCTCCCTAAGAATAAAAAGCAGTCTGTACCGAAAAGTAGACAAAGAACATGTATGTAAGCCAGAAACCCTCAAACAATAAACCACTATTGTCAATTCCAATGCCGAAACAACAACTTTTGGAAGCACCAAATCCTCCGCCGGTTCATGAAGCAGAAAGCACCCCACGCAAACCACTGATGTTTCTTGCAAGAATCAAAAGACATCTGGTGTTCAATACCAATCCTGAATTATTCACATCGTCATAATTATCCACTTAGTAGCAATGATCCTTGCATTATAAGCTCAGATATATAGAAACGAAACCCACTTTAGAAGTATCCAAACAAACAACTAAGTTAAACTATCTCTATACAATGAACTAAATTTAAAATATTGGAACTTGGATCAATTTCGTATAGGCCGTGTGAAAAATCAAGAAACTATGGTTTAGAGAGATTAAAAAGCCTTAAAACCCAACCAGAAAAAAAGCATCAAACTAACTAAAATCAAGGAAAAAAACAACTATTTCAGCATTATTAACTCGATAGACCAGCCAAATAGCTGCAGGCACCTCGATATCCATCATCATTTTAGTTCAATGAAAATAATTATTACAACACAACGAAAGAAAAGACATGTTTAGCTGAACCGATGTATGATCGAAACTGATATTAACGCATCGATTCGTACTCGTATTCAAAACACAAAGAAGCTTCAGAACGTCTCTACGAAGTCAAAGCTAATAACAGAATCAAAACTCCAAAAACCCATATCGTTCATTGCAAAACTGATCAGAACAACAAAACAACAACAGATTAAATGAAAAGAGCTATCATAATTCATAAACAAAGAAACTTGCCTAGAACGGAGATGAGAGAGACGACTCGGAACAACGCTGAGTCCAAATATGTGAAACGAAATTATGCCAGCTGAGCCTTGGGGTTTATATAGAGGAATTTGGGGGTTTAGTGAGAGAAAATAGAGAGATGAATTGAAGTTACTGCGCATGTGGCCAGGTATCTTGGAGGCAAGCTTCTTCGATAAGTTACCGTCACCCGCTGCATTTTGAACTCGTTTTTATTAAAAAAATATTTATTTATTTTAATAACTACAATTATTAAAAATTACAACTTTTTTTTTATTAAAAAATTAGCCCCTGTTTGAAGTATTTTCGAAAATAATATTTTGAATAGTAATTTTTTGAAGAATGTATAGTTAAAATTAAGAAATAAATTTAAATTTATGTACAAAATATTTTATCGTTTGCGAACGTATGATTGAAAATAAATATAATAAATAAATTATTTTATTTTAAAGAGAGTCAAGCACAAACTTAAGCGTAAGTGTTTCTTTAAAACTATTTTTTCTTTAAAATTTAGATATTTTTCTCTATTTTCTTTTAAATTATATATTCTTTAATAAAATAATATTACATATAAATTCAAAATTTTGTATCAATTTACTATTATAAAGTACTTTCTTCAATAATGCATTTTTCTCTATCCTCTTTTTAATCACACATTCTTCATTAAAAGAAAAATTACACGTAATTCGAAAACTTTTCATTTTTACATTCTCTATCAATCTATTATTCTAAAATTCATTTTTCCTTAAAAATGGGTGTCAAACACCCTTAAAGATGAAGTTCAAAGATGTTCTTAATTTCATTGTTATTTTTTCAATAAATAACTTTACATATAGCGCTTGTTTGAGTTACGTTATTTAAAAAAAAAAAAATACATTATTCAACAGTGATTTAGCCCCCGTTTAGCCTCCTTTTTTTAAAAGTGAAAATGGGTGGAATAGTATTTTTTTTTGAAAAATGAGTGGTTGAAAAAGAATGAAAAATTTTCAATTTACGTGTAATATTATTTTATGGAAGATTGTGTGGTTGAAAATAGGAGAGAGAAAAATAGAATGTAATGGAATTTAATGTAATGGGGGTCAAACGGGGCTTAATATCATTTTAATCACACATTCTTAAATAAAATAATATTATATGTAAATCTAAAATTTTCTTATTTTTTAACCACACATTTTTCATTGATTTGACATGAATAATACATTTTTTCTAGAATGTGGCTCAACACATGGGTATAGATTCATAATTTTATCTTACTTTTAAATTACGCCCCTGTTTGGCCCCCATTATTTCTCATTAAATTAAATTAAATTTTTCTCTTTTCTATTTTTAATCATACAATTTTCAATAAAATAATATTACACGTAAATAAAAATTTTTTCTTTTCTTTTTAACCACTCATTTTTCAAAAAAAATACTATTCAAAACATTATAATTTCCAAATAATATGGCTCAAACGGGGGCTACATATCTTACAAAAATTCTCACAAAAGGTTTAACAAAAAAATCTAAATCAAACAGGTCCTAAGAATGCAAAAAATACTATACCCTCGTTCGGGCCTCATTTTCTAAAATTATTTTTCAAACCTATTTTCGATAACACGTTCTTCTAATAAAATAATTTTACATGTGGATCTATTATTATTCATACTTTTTATTCGCATATTCTAAAAATTTAAAAAAAATAATTTTCACAAAATCTATTTACATTTTTTTTTACCAAACAAGGACTGTATTTAAGGATAAGAAATTGGGGTACTTTTAATGTATTTTTTTGCCAAAATTCTTTGTACGAAAATTTATTTGATTACTTTGAAAAGTACTAGAAATTAAGTAAAATTTTATAAGTTATAAATAATTTATTATTTGTAAATTTAGAAATAAATGTTTTATTTTATGTTAAGATAAGAATTACTTGACAAAAATGGTTTTAAACTTAAAAAGTAGAAGAAAATGAGTTGAAGAATTAATTTAATCCTTCAACTATTAGGAAATATTAATTTGGTCATCCAACTATACATGACATCAAACTATGCCCTCGTTTGATTTCATTTTGGGGGAAATAATGCATTTTGAATGGTAGATTGATGGAGAATGTGAGGTTAAAAATTGAAGAAAAATTTTGAATTTGTGTATAATATTATTTTATTGGAGAATATGTGGTTGAAAAATAAATTTTGAAAAAATGAATTTTTAAAAAAATGGGAACCAAACAAGAGCTATACTTTAACATTAATTTCATCCTTTAACTATTCTATAACTCGAATTTGGTCATCCAACTATACTTTAACATTAATATCATCTTCAACTATCTGGAAACTCGAATTTGATCATTCAACTATATTTTAACATAAATTTCATCCTTAAAAATTTACGAAACTCGAATTTGACCCCGTTTGAGCCTCATTATTTCTCGTTACATTAAATTAAATTTTTCCCTCTCCTACTTTAATCACACAATCTTTAATAAAATAATATTACACATAAATCAAAAAAATTTTAACCACTCATTTTTCAAAAAATATTATTCATCTCATTATAATTTACAAATAATGGGGTTTACACGGCCCTTGATCTTCCAACTATACTTTAACATCAATTTCATCTTCAACTGTTATGGTAAATAAGTTGTCGACCCTAAAAATTCAAACCAATTTCGACTGATATCGATCCTATTCTTGTCTGATTGAGGTGGTAAAAGGATAAAAAAGGCCACCCTCCGAAGCGAAACCTCAACGTTCTTGAGGAGATCTTTAACTGAGATGCGAGTTGAGAAACAAAAATGGTATTCACAGTTTACATAGAATCAGTAAGAGATCTGTAGCGAGAAAAAATAATGGTTTACAACCGACGCAATTCCCATCTCAGAAACCCCTTAATCTGTAATAGAAAGCCCTCGTTTTTATCAATCTCGGCCTACGTCATTATTCTTTTTGCTTTATCAATCTTCGTTTTCATATTATCCAGCAAGGATATATTGGAAGATGAACAGAAAAAGCCTATACCTTTGTTAGATAAATTCAAACCTGAACAGGTGCGTAGTTTTCAATTTTTTTTTTCCTCCTTCTGGTAAAAGTGCTGTTTTTTCCAATTCGAAAAAATGGGCTGTTGTAATTTGTTGTGTTCGTTATGGATTGGTAAATTTCAGAATTGGGTTTTGCTTTTTATGCATCATCTTCGATCAGGTTTTGCAATTGTAACTTTCTAGCTAGAAATCTTGAAATTTTAATGATATGGAATGCAGTTTTTCCTTTTTTCAGTAGGTAAAATTTTGTACTTCAAATTTAAATTGCTAAATTTAATTGTTAATTCAGGAGTTTTGTTGAATATTTCGGTACATAGGTGTATAAAAGTAGATTTTCTCGTGGAAAAAGTACTTGATAGGTTTGTAGGAAGACATGTAGATTGATATTAAATGGATTTCAGAGGTCGTGAAATCCGTGCAAATCTTCTTACTGCATATTAAGATCTTTTGTGTGTGTGTGTATGAAAAGAATGGTTAATTTATATCCTAGTGCTATAGCATCCTGAAGCCAAATAAGAGGTTGAATGTGGCTTATACCAGGCCACCGATACCAGGGTTTGTGCCGCTCGATCCCATGAAGCTCGAACAAACAATTCAATTTGATTAAGACTGAAAAATGAGTACACGGATTTCAAGATTGGTTATCGTCTAACAATCTTGAAATTATAATTGAACAGGGAAATAATGACTCAGGAATAAACTATTGGGAAGATAAAGTACTGAACTTTGAATGTACTTCGTAGTTTTATCAAGCATGGAACTTGCTAACCAGTTCAAGATACTCTGCAATCTGCTGTATCAGTGCCTTGCAAATGACTGAATGGTGTCTGGCTTAATGTAACCAATATATGCTGTAAACGTAACTTAACTAACATATCTCTAGAAGTGGACAAAAATAGTGTAGCAAATTGTTGTTTAGATCAAGACTGAACCACAATTTAGTGAATGACTGTTTTGTTATTTTTTTGATGGCATATTTCTGGTTTATTTGTTGCAGCTGGGAGATGATAAACTTTGGGAAGCTTCTTCTAGTCATGGTTTACACCCATGTGCCAAGCCAACCTCTAAATATAAAGGTGATTGTCGTGCAACCTTCTCCCCTCGTTCCATTCCTCTTTTTTCTCTCAATTAAACATACGTAAGACCTCAATTTACATTTTCAGCGGGCCAAGTTTGGGATCGCTATATAACTGTCAGAAGTAATGGGGGATTAAATCAAATGCGCACCGGTGTAAGTATTTTTTGTCAGTTTCTTATTTCTGTTATTTCATTTATTTATATCTTGTCATATTTGACCATTGTATATACAAAATTGGTTTTAATGCTAACAATACACTAAACTAATATTTCTGAGTGAACTTTTAACTCAAAGCACAGATGAATTGACAGAAATTCCACTTCAGATGAATGCCTCAAATTTCGGTTTCCGATTTTGGGATCTTTTCCCCTTACTGATTCACATTAAGGATCAAGCTGTTTGTCCTCACACTCAATACCACCTGTTTGGTCAAATAACTTGCAAAAACTCGATATATAGATAAAAAAAAGTTAGCATCTATGTTGACATACTAAGCCCCCTTTTGAGACCCTTTTTTTTTTAAGGAAATGTATTTTGAAATAATGATTTTTGGAGAATATGTGGTTGAAAAATAGGGTAAGCTTTTTGGTTTACATGTAAATTTATTTTATGGAAAAATATGTGGTTGAAAATAATTTTGAAAAAATGAGTTGAGAGAAAATGGGGCTCAAACAGTCGCTAGATGTACATTGCCTTTTATCTCTCTTCTCCGCAACTTTGGTCCTTTTGTCCATAACTGAATATCTTTTTTTTTGATAGGTAATCATAGAATTTTATTTCTTAAAAGAGAGTACACGGGAGGTATACAATCACTTTAAGCATGAAAGGAACAACGTAAAATTAGGCAATTCTACAATAGAATTTTTAGCCACTACATTAAACTAAGTATACAAAGTCAAGTAAAATAATTCTCTTATCTGCTCTATTGTCTTTGTTTGGTTTTCGAAACAACGATCATTCCGTTCTCCCCATGTGCACCACACAATGCATCCCGGAATAAGATTTTAAAGAAGTTTGCTATCCTTATCACGAAATTTTCTCCTCCATGCTCGCACGTCTTCTATACGCCTAGGTAGCACCCAATCCATTGATTGAGAAGCCAGAATATTGTTCCAAAGCCAACGTACACCATCATAATGAATGAATAAATGATCAATCGTCTCTCCATCTTTTTTGCACATATAGCACCACTCGGTTACATAAAATCCTTTGCGTCGAAGATTATCCACCGTTGACACCTGTCCCCTCATAACTGTCCACAATAGAAATGCTACCTGTGGAGGCAATTTGCTTTGCCGAACCATCTTCCAAGGTAATGAACTTTCCACAAATCCCAAAAGGGATTGAAAGTATGAGCGGACTGAAAAAATACCATCTCGAGCCAACCTCCACCTGCTGCAATCACCCTCTCCTACCCGAATTTATATCTCATGCAGGGCAGTAAAATACAACGAATAATCTTCCAATTCCCAATCCTGTAAGCCCCTTCCAAAAGTAATATTCCAACTAAAGTCCCCATTATGAATGTCTAATACATCACCCACCATAGCAGCAGGCTCTAACGCAATGCGGTATAATGAAGGAAATCCCTCATTTGACGGTTGATCGCCACACCAACTATCATGCCAAAATCTAATATCAGTGCCATTTCCCACCACAAAATTCAGTTTGTCGCTAAAATCACTCCATCCCCGTTGGATATACCTCTACAAGCTCACCCCATAGGAGCCATGACCCTCAACCGTACACCAACCCTCTCCATCACACCATACTTTGCCCCAATGATTTCTCTCCAAAAGCTCTCCCTCTCCACTCCAAATCGCCACAACCACTTGCCCAATAAAGCCTTATTAAATAAAACAAGGCTCCTCACTCCAAGCCCCCCATCCTCATAGGCAAACAGACAGTACCCCAATTAACCAAATGCATTTTCCTCTCCTCCCCTAGCCCTGCCCACAAGAATTCTCTTTGAAGTCTCTCTAATCTATTTGCCACTGCAACCGGAATAGGAAATAATGACAAAAAGTAAGTGGGGAGATTTGAGAGAGTGAATTTAATTAGAGTAAGTTGGCCTCCCTTAGAAAGATACATACGCTTCCACCCTGCTAACCTCCTCTCCATTCTTTCCATAATACCATTCCAAATATGTGTACTTTTAAACCGTGTCTCTAGCGGGAGCCCTAAATATGACATGGGCAATTGTGCAACCCTACATCCCAATATGCCAGCCAACTCCTCCACGTTAGTGACCTCCCCAACTGGAATAACCTCAAATTTCCCCAAATTGATTTTTAATCCAGACACCGCTTCAAAACATAGGAGCAAACGACGCAGGTTCCTGAATTGTTCATCATCCGCATCGCATAAGATCAACGTGTCATCTGCAAATAGCAAATGAGACACCTGCAATTGGCCAACCATAAAGCCCCTTACCAAACCCTCTCCCACAGCTCTTTCAAACATCCTACTGAAAGCCTCCATCACAATAACAAATAGCAATGGGGATAGTGGATCTCCTTACCGCAAACCTCTACTACTCCGAAAATAACCCTCCGGCGATCCGTTGACCATAACTGAGAACGAAACAGTAGAAATACAGAACTGAATCCATTTACACCACTTATCCCCAAAGCCGCACCTCCTAAGCATATACAAAAGGAACCCCCAGTTCACATAATCATATGCCTTCTGAATATCGAGCTTACATAGCATCTCGGGAATTCCCAAACGCAATCTTGAATAAATGCATTCATTCGCTATAAGCACAGAGTCCAAAATCTGGCGACCTTTTACGAAAGCATTCTGAAACTTGGACACTACTTTTCCGAGCACCTCCTTTAATCTATTCGCCAGGATTTTTGCAATAATCTTATACATCCCACAGACAAGGCTAATAGGGCGAAAGTCCTTAATGTCGGTCGCCCCCGGTTTCTTAGGGATAAGCACAACAAATGTAGCATTAGAACTTTTTTGGAACCTGCCACGTTCAAAAAAATATGTAAACACATCCAAGATTTTCGATCGCACCACCTTCCAACAAGCCTTGTAAAATGAGAACGAGAAACCATCTGGTCCAGGGGCCTTATCCTCGTTCATGCTAAACACTACCTCCTTGATTTCATCCTCCTCAAAAGGACGCTCTAACCAATTGGCATCATCCTCCGTGATGGTAGAAAAATCCAATCCTTCCAACTTTGGCTTCCACTCAAACTGCTCCCGATATAGATTCTGATAGAAATTCACCAGTTGGCTTCCAATTTCGAGTGGTTCTTCATAAGTTATCCCATCCACTTCCAACACTGTGATAGAATTTTTACGCCTATTAGAATTTGCGATCCTGTGAAAAAACTTAGTACATTTATCTTCTTCTTTCAACCAATTGACCCTAGATTTCTGACGCCAAGCATCTCCTCCATCTCCACCAAGCATCTCCTCCATCTCCACCAACCTGTCCAGTTCTTCCCTTAATGCTCTACGTTTATCCTTCTCCTCCCCAGCTAACTTTCGACGCTCCTCCCACCTATCCAACTCATCTATCTCCGAAAGGCACTGAATTTTACGATAGTTCACATTGTCCACAACCTCCTCATTCCATTTCTTTAAATCCCTTTTCAAAGACTTCAACTTCTGATCCAACACAAAACTAGGAGACCCTCTAATATCATAAGATGTCCACCAAGTCTGTACTTGCTCCCTAAAACCTTCGACTTTCAACCTCATTTTCTCGAAGCTAAAAGGCCTTCGTCCTCTACCCGTCTTGTTCCCAGTTAACATAATGGGAAAATGGTTAGAGTACACCCTCCCCAATCTTCTCTGAATGACATCTGAATACTTAGCCTCCCACTCTCCGCATATCAAGAACCTGTCTATATGAGAAAGAATCGGTTGATCCCGATTAGAAGACCAGGTAAAATATTCCCCAATCATAGGCAAATCCACCAACATATTCTCCCTTATAAAGTCTGAAAACTCCTCCATAGCCCACGTGAGTCTCCCACCGCTCAACCTCTCAATAGGAAATCGAACCACATTAAAGTCACCTCCTATACACGTTGGTATATTCCACCAAGCCATCATTCCAGCAAGTTCATCCCACAAGCCCCGTCTACTGTCATCAGTATTAGGCCCATAAACACCTATGAACATCCACTGAAATCCGTCCCCACTGTTTCTGAACGACATCGATATTTAGAACAATCCTACACTCACCTCTTCCATCTCAAGCACTCTGGTGTCCCACATGACTAATATGCCTCGAGAAACCCCTGATGATCCCATAAACTGATACCTACATGCTGTCCCCCCCATAAGCTACTGACTACCACCTTTGAGATAAACTCCATCTTGATTTTTTGTAAGCATACAAGATCCGCTCCCCAGCCCCTTAGCAGATGTCGAACACCCATCCTTTTCCCTACTTCATTAAGTCCCCTTATATTCCAGCTAATGATTCGTGGTATCATTTTAACAATCCGGCATCCCTCCCCAATACTCCATTCTTGGACTCGCCACCCTTGCCATCATAATTAACTGACCATTCGAGCCTCTTAAGTTCACCATCGCCCTTTCTTCTTAGTTTTCCTTCTTGTTTACTCATCTCCTGTCCCCTATTGACCTCCAAATCCTCAAATAATTGTAATAATCTGTTTTCATAACCATCATAAGACGCCCATTAACTTACTGAAATCTTGAATTTTCTGTAGAACCCAGTTCGAAGGTGGGTGTCCAGCTTCGAATCCAATCAAACCCCCTGTTTCCTCCTTCTGTATAACGTCACTTTCTATTTCTCCCTTCTTGGCTCCATCTACCCACAGCACAAGTGCTTTTTCCGTCCCCAAGTCACTTACCTTCATTGACTTAGAGTTCCTTCTATTATATGTATTCGCAACCCTTGTTGTCAAAGGTGTCGCATCATGCTCTATCATCCCTGAGGTAACTAGATCCTCTGGCAGTACGTGCCTCGTCCCTTGGTCACCTAGTAAAAGCCCATCATCGTGTGGGGCTGTGTCCGTAGCACCCATCTTTACTGTCTCCAAATTCACCATATTCGGCTCCCCTTCTTTAGACAAAGGTACCACCTCTCGGTCTACATCGGTCCCCGTGTCTACCTCATCCATAGCCATCCCCTCTAAGACATCACCTTTGTCATATTTAGAGTGTCCCTCATCCGTTTCAATCCGATCAATTGACTTACAAGTGATTTCGAGTCTTCCCTGCTTAACTTGATTATATTCCGATTCCTTCTTATTCAAGCCCGATGCTTGTTTTCCAACAGCTGGATACTCATCCATACCCACCCCACACCTGTGGCAGCATAACAACTTCTTGGGACCTATTTCATACCCACTTCCCACTAGCCTAATCAATTCCTCCAATGCTCCTTTCAATTCCTGGACACGGGCTATAATTTCAGCCCTATTCAAACAACAATCCTGACCTTCGTTTACACTGACATTGACAGTCATCTCCTTTTGCTGTTGCCTCCACTGGTCAACATGTTTCGAAGTATGTAGGTTTGCTATTATGTCTGCATTAGTCAATTCTTGTCGATTACGTTCATTCACAAGTCGACGTTTGACTTTATCCCCTGCAACAAAAGAATCAACAACAGTTTGAAACACCCGCGAGATTGATGCCCATCCTTCTCCATTCGCACCTTCCGGCACCATCACAACTCCCTTCCGACGCCTATCCCCAAACTGCTCTATCATCAAGTACCTACCACGGCGGTTCGCACAACGTTGTGCCAAGAAGGCTCTTGAAGACTCATTGAATCTAGAAACGAAATCCTCATGCTTACTAGTCGCCCTCAACTTGTCCACCATATTCACCATCCAACGTGCACCGAACCTTCCCATGCTAATTGCATTCGATATCTTCGAGCCCCATTCGGTCATTCTAACAACGCCAAGATTAGTAACAGAAATTGCAAACTCCTTCGCCTCAACTCGAAAATGGTGATTGAAGGCCATATCTAATTCATCCACTAACTTCCTTCCCTGATTGTGTGATAACGGCATATTGGACGGCAAAACAGGCATCGTTATTGGACTGGGGACATTCTGCCCGTCATCCTGATTTTCCGACGCCGGCGCGTGTCAGTCACACGCGCCGTTCCGGCGGCTCGTGGGTCACTCAACTCTGTCCCCCTGGCCGGAATCGCCTACGCATAACGCCGGTCAAGCGCGTTTGCCAGGCAGGTGGCCGGATTTTTCTGAATCTGGAACAGGCAACCCCGTTTTCCGGCCTCTTCTCCGATCTCGGCATCTGTGTCTCCAGCTAGGGCGACGGTGCTAGGGTTTCCACCTAGGGCCGCCGCCTGATTATGTGGCTTATGTAGTGGCATAAGGCCGATGAATGGTTGGCCGATCGACGTGATGTCGCCGGCGACTGTAGCGGTCGGTGGTGAGGGCTGGCTAATGGTGTGATGTTTGGATGTTAGGGAGGAGAGATCCATTCTGTTGGAGATCCCTCTTAATCCGTGTCAACGGACTGTCCATAACTGAATATCATGATAAGAATTTACATGGAATTTTATACTAGAGTTCAAAATATGGATTACTTGATGAGATCTAACTTTTTGTTTTACCCTCAAAGTTAGTCGCACCTTCCAGTACGACTACCTTGTTAAGACTTCACTCCAGTCACTAGTCCTGCCTTTGGCATCCCCCTCCTTGAATTCTTGCATTGGAATAAATGGAAGAAAACGGATTGATATTGGTGCAATCTGATCCATTATGAGAGAGCAATCCCGAACCCAATGGATCATTCCCTTTTCCGATATATGAAATAGGGGATTTCACTAAGTTGATTCTTAGGAAATGTCGACTAAAAATTTTTACCAATCACATCATGTACTTTAAACAAGAGAGTTTTTGGAAAGAAAATAATTACTTCTGGCAATGTGGTTATTATTAGCAGACATTTTGAAAGGATATAAGGTCTTTCACTTGTGGACAGAGGGAGTGATCAATTCACCATAGATTTTGTTTTTATATGAACGAAGTTACTCATAGAAAGCAACTGCTAAGTCCCTTGTCCTGGAGCCTGAGAAAAGAAGACTCTAATATGGTCTATTTTCTGTTCGTGGTGAGACATGATGTGATTACCTCTATCAGAATTGTCATTCCATTGTGCCAGAATGAATGTTTAGTGTAAATTATTATTCGTAACAATATTATTAATGTTATATGTTAATTACTCTTACCTTCTTGGTTAATATAGATAGCTGATATGGTGGCCGTGGCACGTATAATGAATGCTACATTAGTAATTCCTCAGTTGGACAAGCGTTCATTCTGGCAGGATACAAGGTCAGTTCCTGTACTGCATTGTTTTTGCCACTTCTTCTCTCTCATTTCCATACTTGATCCCCCTCCATACATGCATGTGCATGCACGCTTCTGCATATGCACATGGATTTATCATAAGTGCAGTTTATTTTATAATCAAATGTAAATTTTCTTGCAAATTTTGAAATTTGGTTCAATTAAATATTTATTTGAGATTTAGAATTCAATTTTGTAGTATCTCTACTCTAATTTTGTTCATATGCAGTACGTTTTCTGATATATTCGATGAACTTCATTTCATTAAAACTTTACAACAAGATGTGAGGATCATGAAGGAGCTTCCAAAAGAACTAGAAAATGTTCCTCGAATCAGGAAACACTTCACTTCATGGTCTGGTATGAGCTACTATGAGGAAATGACGCATCTCTGGAAGGATCATCAGGCAAGTTATTCTATCATGTCCTTTTACCTGAATCCACAGAAATTAATGATTGTTTTATTCATTCAACAAGATTAGTATCATTTGTTGTTGTGAACATCAGCATGTGGGAAAAAAAAATGGAATATTTATTCAGGAATAAAGTGCTCTGAAACTTTAAACAAAGTGCAAACGAACACATGGTTATGAAAAATCTCCATCACGCATATGTGTTCAGCAACTTTTAGAAAATTTCAGTAATTTTTGTTAGTTGCTGAAAACATGAGTTAATTTGCTCGTTAAAGATTGAAGTAATTTTTGTTAATTTTTTAAATATATTTTAGCAATTAATCCAATTTCACAATATCAGATATCAACAACATTAAACTAAGCATATTTTGCATTGATATGTGTAAGCTAAATGGATACCTTGATCCAGAGCTACATCTATGGGGAAATGCAATGAATTTTTATTTATTTATTTATTTATTTTCCGCCAACCATAGGAAGCCCTGCTATTTTTGGTGCATCTTTCTCTCTTCTATCATATTCTATTTAGATTGGATTGATTTTGTCACTTTCTGAACATGAATTAAGGGATTTGCAATACATGCCTTTACCACCATAATCGGTCTCCTCTTAATTTATTATCAATTGGTGCTGCCTTATGTGGTACGTATGGATTCTAATTTCTTTTCATCATTTTCCCCCACAGTTATATTAAACATCCTACTTTCCATTACACTTTGCATTTTGTTCTCTAGGGACTCGACGATCAGCACTATAGATCAAATATATATAATTAGTGGTTTATATGCTAAGGACTCTAAAAGTTTCAATTTATGGCTCTTTTGCATGTTTTTCGAGGACTGCACTTCAATACTAAAAAATGCTTAAGTGCACTTTTGACAACTATGCACAGAGTTTGCTTATTGAGATTTTTTTTGGGTACTCTAATTTTGTTCATATGCAGTACGTTTTCTGATATATTCGATGAACTTCATTTCATTAAAACTTTACAACAAGATGTGAGGATCATGAAGGAGCTTCCAAAAGAACTAGAAAATGTTCCTCGAATCAGGACCTGTCGATATACAAAGGTTGAGATGTCGTGCCCTCTATAATGCTCTGCACTTCTCTCCATCTATAAATAGGCTGGGAAAGGTCAGAACCATCTTCTGCTCCTACTACATGTTAACCGTTCAAACTTGCACCATGTAATGATATCATATATCCAAAATTAGAATGCTCTTCTGTGAATCAAAATACAGAAATGAAGTCTCTTGAATATACAGAGCTCCTCATGAAAAACATCAAGTTTTTCGAGAGTTCTTAAAGTACTTGTTAATTCCTAACAAGAATCTTACGATAATTATATTTGTAAATATGACTCAGTTGATGTATTTCTGTAAATTCATTTAAGAGGTCTTCTATGGGGATTCATGTTACATTAGGTTCTGAGCATAAATATCGGTGATACCACAGAAGCTAGTGGAGAGGTTGAGATCACGTGCAGAAAGATACATTGCGCTTCATCTAAGATACGAGAAAGACATGCTCTCTTTTACTGGCTGTACTTATGGTCTTACTGATGCTGAATCAGAGGAGCTTAGAATTATGAGGTGAACGACTTTTTGCAACTAATTACTTATTTACTTTTTATACTGGCGAAACATGCTGTGTGAGAATATTTAAGTTTCAGCTGAACGGATCAAATTAAATTTAAGGGTACATTACCAAAATTTTAAGTACACACGCCGTGCTGGCATTTTTCTTTTCAATCTGCTAAGCCACTCAATCCTTTAATTCTTTCTCTCAGAGGCACTGCTTATTTTCGTTATCCCCTTGCCAACACAGCTACTTTAAAACTGCATGTGTTAACATCATGTCTCTTATATTTGGTTTCGTTAGGGAGAAAACAAATCACTGGAAGATCAAGAATATCAACTCCACAGAACAGAGAATTGGTGGTTCCTGCCCTCTAACTCCAAAGGAGGTTGGAGTTTTTCTTCAAGCTCTTGGTTATCCACCATCTACCTTGATATATATTGCTGCTGGGGAAATTTATGGTGGTAATGCTCATCTTTCAGAGCTCACTTCTCGCTATCCAAATGTAGTTTTCAAGGTTGGTCACGTTGGATGCTTTTCTATTGGTTTTCATTGAGAAATAACTTGAGTGCTAAGTCTAGCTGTAATATTAACCATGGTAATATCTCGTTGATGACAGGAAATGCTTGCAATTGCTGAAGAATTGAATCCGTTTTCTAAGCATGCATCTCAAACTGCGGCACTTGATTATATTATCTCCATAGAAAGTGATGTTTTCATTCCATCACATTCAGGTAATATGGCAAGAGCTGTTGAAGGGCATCGCCGATTCTTAGGGCATCGGAGAACAATCACTCCAGACAGGTATTAATGTTGTATAAACCTCATTATTACATCATTTCAAACTCCCAAGTGACCTTATTCTGTTTCTAACTGTATAAAACCAATATATTCCCACAAGTGAAGAGATTCGGAGAGCTTAAATTTTTTCTTTTCATATTTCATATAGATTGTTCATTCTTTTCTTTTTGATGAGCACAAAGAATCCTCTGTTCTTTTATTGCTGCATGTGATAAGAACAGTAAATTCTTTATTCAGACCGAGTTGTCATGCTTTTAAATTTTCTCCTTTGTTCGTTTAATTAATATTCGAACAAAATGTGCAGGAAAGGTCTAGTAGAATTATTTGACAGATTGGAAGCTGGAGAGCTTCGAGAAAGTTCTTTGTCTTATCATGTGAGGAAATTGCACAAAAACAGGTGATGTATTTGCACGACCGCGTGTTTCTACTCCTTTTCACCATTCTTGGATGCGTTGCCGCAAGTCTCATTACATGTTGAATGGAGCAGTTAAATACTACAAATTGTATTTATTTATTTAATTTTAATTTTAATTTTTTTTTTTTAATTCAAATCTTTCCTCCTAATTTACCAGAGCCCTCTTGATGTTAACAGGCCAATACCCTACTTATTTTGATTTTCGACCTGTTTCTGTATATTTGTTTTGTCATGCATCTGTCCATTTTCCGTGAAAATATCAGCGAGATTGAGCATCATTTTCTCGAGTAGGATAAAATAGAAATAAAGCCAAGGGATTTCACACTTTGATACCAACTCTCTGTCTTACTGTCAAATAAGTTGCTTATTTTCAACTTCGACAAACAAAAGTCATTCATCACGATTTACTTATTTGTGAAAAATGAGTTTCGTAATAGTGATTTTTTTGTAGAATGTGTTGGTAAAATGTAAAGACAAATTTTGGGTTTACATGCAAAATTAATTTATTCATAAAATGTGGTTGACAATGAGTTTGGAGTAAAATGGAGCTCAAACGAGGACTTGTACATTAGTAAACTTTTCGGGCTTAGCCAAATATTCTCATAGATGTGTGCAATCCTCTACTGCTAAGCATTGTTATGGAGCTCTGTTCAGTACAATTTTGCATACCACACTTAATTATTGTTGCATACCTCCCGAACAAAGGGAGCTGACTACTAGGTGTGGCCATATCTTTTATAGTTTCTTGAGTACCATCGACATATATCTAGTAGCTAGCTGGTCAAGGATAGATATCAGACTACCGTTTTTCTCATTCCTAGCAATTTGCAGGCAAGGTGCACCGCGAAAAAGAGAAGGTGCCCCACCAGGGATAAAGGGTCGAGCACGATTCAAGCTGGAGGAATCTTTTTATCAGAACCCATACCCGGAGTTCCGTGATATGTCAAATCGGATTGACTGAAAGAAGTATACTTAACGGATGTCATCAATGTATTGCATCGACTACTAGGAAGGATTTCTCTTTATATAATCTTTGTACTTTAATATCATAATCCTCATCTTTTCCTTAACATGTGACATGACGGTTTTTCCTTAGGGTTTTGATTGATTAGTTCAATTGTGTTCTGTTTAGTTTGGAAACAATTATGAGAAAAATTTGAATACCATTGTATTTGTCAGCAAAGATCAGTTTCTTGGTCGCATCCAGATACATTAGAGATTTTTAATTATTGAGCACAGTATTTTATCTAAAGTTGGACATGGTTTGGTTCAATTCGATTCTAACGAGAATCGAACTGACTCGAAATTTTCGGATATTTAGTAAGTGAAACTGTGGGGTCCAAATTTAATTATAGAACCGTTCGAGTTCGGTTCCATTCGGTACGGTTCAGTTTCCAGGTTTTGTATTATAATTAATTTTTTTAATATTTACAAAGTTACATTAATTTAACTAATGATATGTTCAATCTTAACTCTTACAAAATAACATAATTTAATGTTATGTGTTTTTTGCGTCTCTCTTTGCTGAGTTCTTCATAGATTTGATTGTCAAAATTACAAAAAGATGAAGATAATGAGCTCAAAATAATTAAGAGAGCTGTTGTTGAGTTTTAATTCGATTTTTTCAGAGTAATAGAAACGACACTACGATGAAGTAACAGATTTGAATAAAATTAGGTATATCAAACGTGCTGAGCAGTTTGTCGGCTTGTTATAACTTGGCTCGTGGGTGGCTCGGGCTCGTCGGTTCAACCCCACGAGTTGATCCCATACGACCCACGAGCCGAGCTTGTGGGCTCATAAAAAATGTGCAAATTTACAAAATAAATAAATAAATTAATTAAAAAAAATCATGAGCTTGTGAGCGGCTCGTGGGCTCGGCTTGGCCCATGAACTCGTGGCTCATGAGCTTGTGGGTTAAAAGGCCCATTGCTACCCTAGATAAAACTTTTATCAATTTGATTAAGTTGGCTTTGAACTGAAAATTAGAAATAGGAAAATCATATATATATATATATATATATATATATATTTTTTTTTTTT